GATTGCCTCTGCAGCTTGTATTGGTGGAGGATAAATTGAAAAAACAGTGGCAATATCTGTTACAGAGCCTTAGAGACAGAACTGAATAACTTGATGTAACTTCACAGTTAGTTTGACTTCGAGCAGGTGCATACCTTCTGTAAATCCTAAGGCACATTACAATAAACTTGGATGGCCTCTGCAGCTTGTATTGGTGGAGGATAAATTGAAAAAACAGTGGCAATATCTGTTACAGAGCCTTAGAGACAGAATTGAATAACTTGATGTAACTTCACAGTTAGTTTGACTTCGAGCAGGTGTTTGGACCAGCTGACCTCCAGAAGTCCCTCCTGCCCATTTAAATTATTCTATGACTCTGACCTATATTTAGCTCCTTAGACTGAGTAAAATAATTCAAATTCAAAAGCAAAATAGCTTATTGGCTAAAATGGGACCAGTGAAAATAAAGAAATAATCTAAAACAACCTTAGGAGCATGTTTGTGTTTCTTTAAATGATATAAGCAATCCACACAGGTCTTTCCTTCTGTTTCTGTAATCTGTGATATCCTGCGAGGCTACAGTGTTAGGACATAGTAAAAAACCCTTCTAGAGAGCCATCTCAGTTTAGGAGGAAATTTTAAAAAATTTTAGAAAATATCTGGTCTGCATAGAATGGTACGACCACTGAATTAGGAATACAATAAAACCTGAGCAGTTACTAATATAGAAAAGTAATAACTGTTCTTACTAAGAGAAAGACCGCTGTTATAGCAGCCATTAAAGTTTTCATTACAGCTAAAAGAAACTATGTCAATGCAGCAAGGGCAACTGTAGAGTTGAACAAAGTTCAGTAAATTTCAGCAAAGGCAGGGTCCTGCACTGGGGAAGAACAACCCTCTGCATCAGGACAGGCTGGGGGCTGACCTGCTGGGGAGCAGCTCTGTGGAGAAGGACCTTGGGTGCTGGGGGACAACAAGTTGTCCATGAGCCAGCAGTGTGTCCTGGGGGCCAAGAAGGCCAGTGGGATCCTGGGGGGCATTAGGGAGAGCATTGCCAGCAGGGAGGTGATCCTGCCCCTCTGCTCAGCCCTGGTGAGGCCACCTCTGGAGTGCTGTGTCCAGTTCTGGGCTCCTCAGCACAAGAGAGATATGGAGCTCCTGGAGCTGGTCCAGTGGAGGGCAACAAAGATGACGGAGGGACTGGAGCCTCTTATGAGGAAAGGCTGAGGTAGCTGGGCCTGTTCAGCCTTGAGAAGAGAGACTGAGAGGGGATCTTATCAATGCTTACAAATGTCTTACATGTGGGTATCAAGAAGATGGGGTTAACACTCTTTTCAGCATTGCCCAGTGACAGGACAAGGGACAACGTGCAAAAGCTGAAACAGAAAAATGTTCATCTAAATGAGGAAAACGTCCTTTACTTTGAGGGTGACATAACACTGTAACAGGATGTCCAGAAGGGTGGTAGAGTCTCTTTCTCTGGAGATATTTGAAACCTGCCCAGATGTGATCCTGTGCAATCTACTCCAAGTGAACCTGCTTTAGCAGAAAGGTTGGACTAGATCATCTCCAGAGGTCCCCTCCAAACCCAGTCATTCTGTAATTCTGTGATACCATCTTCATACATACAAAAAAAATAAAAATAAAAAAACAAAAAACAAAAAACAAAAAAAGTAAACTGAATATTCAGGATTAAAATTGAAAAACCCCATATTTAACACTAAAAAAAACCCCACCAAAATCTAAATAACATTTTTATTATTTAATCATCTCTGCAACCATCTCCTGTTCGTGTCATGAAGTCTAACACAGAAATTCCAAATGTACATGAAAACCATACCAGACAAAGCAACTACTAAAACCAACTGAAATTTGATCAATTTACAAACTTCCAACATAGTTAAGCTTGAGACATTTATTTCTTGAATTATTTTGTTACCATGGTAACTCTTACACACATCAACCTACTTATTTCACATGGTATCATGCTGGCCTCTTAATTTTTCTGTTTAAAGTTACACATTCTAATTTAGGACTATAGAAATATGTCTGAAATATATAGAAATATGTTTCTCCACTAAAAAAAGCGTTGACTTTTAATAGCAAAAATGAGAGCATTAGTGCCAACAACCAAGACTTCTGTGTTCACCCACTATGTAGGAGACAAACAGGTCAGTTTTTTTGTCAGGAACTATTTGAACTCTAATTGCCTACTGCAATAAAAATAGATGCCATGCCACTGAACAGGCTCAGGTAAGATCTCTGTCAGTATTTCCTATTATAGTTGCTGCATTCTACTACCTCCTACAACTCCCTAAACACAATCTAGTGCAGTTCATAAAGGCGAAAGATGTGTGGGTTCAGCTCGCAGCACAGCTGTCTCAGTAACTGCTGTTTTTCAAGAAGACAATGTGATTTTCCTGCTGTGTTCCTTGCACAGTCACACAGACCTGCTCTGCAGTAAATTGTTACTAGCAAATTTACAGTACCTCATCCATGCACTACATAATCTCCAAACCCTTGCAAGAACTTATAAAATCTGCTGGCTTCTATATTTCAGTTCCACACAAGGCAATGGCTCCTGCAGAGTAACTGCATGTGCTGTCACTCAGAATACTGATATTTTCTTTAAAAAAAAAAAAAAAAAAAAAAAAAAGGAAGGTAAGAGTGATGAACTGCCACATCCTGCCCCCTCTTCACACACCTTTGCTATCACTGCTTGTTCTGCAGGAAAAAGGAAGGCATCTTCCACTGCATGGCTGGGGCATGCACCTAAACACCCCAGGGCACCTCACAGAATTTGCCTCCACCCAGGGCCAAAATGGGTTTCTGGGTGTCCCCTTATGTCACTGGATGCACACAGCTCCACACAAGATGAGTCACTGCACAGTCAGCAGCTCAGCAAGTACACCCCTGGCACAAGGTGACAGCATGAAAATCCTTGTCATTTTTGACAGGTCTGTGACATAGCTGCCTTTGATATTCTCCAATTCTGGAAATTACACCACTTTGAAATCCTCTTATTTCCAAACTATGAGTCACTATAAGGATGCCTTATTTCTTTTCATAGACATTTATAGCCTTTAATACAAATATTACCTCCAGATATGTAGCAGACAGTGAGATTCTACTCCAGATTTAGATGGAAACATTTAGGTTTCTATGGTGCAATGCCTCTAAGTTCAATAATTATGTTACAATACCATTATAAATAGTGGACACCTAGTTCAAGATATCTGTGTTGGAACAAGAATATTGCTGTTCTGCTCAGGATTTTCCCTCCATTAAGTATAACTAACTCTGGCAAACTATTCACAAGGTGAATGTCAGCAGGGGTGCTGGCATTTCGGTCACAGGACACATGCTCTTTCTTCTGGCAGCAGGCTGGCAGGAAAACAGCTGCAGCAGGATTGATTGTTCCACTGGGCTGAATCTGCAGACTGTGAGTTGCACAACCCTGTCTGACGCCTGTGGGAGACATCGTTGTCTCCTCATCTTTGAATCCTGTCCCTCATTTTTTTCAACACAGACTGCCAAAAATAGAACCTCAGCTCACAGAGAGACATTAGGCATCTCTAAGCTTTCTACAAATGAGCTGTCTAGGCTCCCCTCTGTTCTCAGTAAAGAGAGGCATCTCCAGAGAGCAATTCTGCTGCTGTGGCGGATGAATTGCTGCAGAAGTCACCTGCTTTTCTATTCTAACAATAAAAGAATCTTGGACAATGAGTTGACATCTCACTTGCAGAGGCTAAGGTTTAAGGTGATCAGTCCTGATAAAGCTCAGAATATATAAATCTCACTTTGGATAACAAAAACCACTTTTTTTTTTTGTAAACTGAATATTCAGGATTAAAATTGCCTCAACTTTTATTTGAACTTTAAATTGTTCCAGCTTTCCATGAAGCAACCCAAAAATGAAATATAATGGGAAAAGGAAGGAAAAAAAACTAACATAGCCAAGACAGGGACAAATATACAAAATGTGCACGTACTCAGCTGAACCAAGCTTGCAGGTTTTAGGGAGGAATAAGGATAGATTTGAAAGTAACTGGCATAGCAGGGTCTGGAAGGTAACCATTTAAAAAGGCAGGCATAGGATAAGAAGCAAAGGACACCTCTCACAATCCACAGTATCCAGTGTGGATATATTCCTATGTTACATAGTATAATTGAACATTTATATAGCCTGTCATCTTTCAGGGTGTTGCCACACACATGTAAACCCAAAAGTACTTAAATATTTCCGAAATTCTTTGAAAAATTCAAGATGAAAACATGACTATCCACTTTGTAGCCCTTGATTCCAAGGACAAGAATTGAATGGATTTCATTTAGTGGTATTGATACACATGTAGATTGATCCAAGTTAAAAAAGGAACAGTGTGAGCACATTTTAAAATAACAGCATATGAACCTTTATGGCTAAAGTGGAAAAACCTATATGCTCTTAGACAACAAGAAAGGAAAATCCTTTTTTTGATTTCTGAATATGAATAGACACTTTATGTCATTTTCCTTTTGACTGGAGGACTAAACCATAAATTTTTTGTTAAAACTTTTCTGAACCAGAAAACCAGAAGGATGCAGCCTAGAAGAAAACTAACTTCAAAATGTTTTCTGGTTTTTACCAGCTATCCATTCTGTTCTAAATCAAGGCAACTGATAAAGTTTGGCATAAAGCTAAACATTTATATGCTCCTCAGAACTTTTGTGGGTAATGTCAAATTCTGCTATTTAAAACTTTACAGAGGTCATTCCTACCAAAATAAAAAGTGCCTCACTCTGTGAAGATGCAGTGTCCCAACTGACTATAATTTTTGGATAGCTGACTCATATAAGACATATACACAGACATAACACAGAGAGGCAATGTTTCCCTCCAATGTGAAGATGAAGGAATGAAAGGATGGGTGTAGGATTCAACTATCAATTACTTATAATATTGTGTTAATGTTTTACAGCTCTGAGATGGATGGGAAGAGTCCTCCTTAGAGAAAATTGTAAAGCAAAATTCGACAAACCTGTCTTCTTCCAGTAGACCTTGACCTGAAGTTGATTGTCCTGATAGAAGGGAGTTCCAATTTTAAGAAAACGAGTGGTTTTCCTTCTTTGAAAGGCTGGGTAAGGATCTACCAATCCTTTATGTGGTTTCCCAGCAGATGTCCGTTCCTCTGCAATACACAGACCAATCAGGAAACTATTTAGTTAACTACAGTGCTGTATAATGACTGTGCTGAATTTGGTGTAATTCAGAAAATAATAGTATCTTTATTCCAAATGACATTATTTCCATTTCTTACCTAAATGAAATAAATATAAAGAATGAACTGTCCAAAATGGTCGAAAAATCACTCATTTGAAATTCAGTCAAATTTAGAAAGTGACCAAAAAAACCAAAACGTTTTCACAGGGAAATGCTCTGTAAATTTTCTGAAGAGTAATAAGGAAATGGACTGTTTTTATATCCCCAAGAACAAGAAATGTTAACACAATGATTTTTTAAACAGGCATGGTATTTACCAGTAGTTCTCTGTAATACTTCACAGTCTTTATAGTCTTCATGCAGTGTTTGAACATGCACAAAATCCAAGGACAGCATTGAATGTAACACACGGAGTGCCACATGTGGTTACTACATCAAAGTAAATATAGTCCTCTGGTATGCTATATATGAACACTGTGGTCAGATTAAAGATCTGTCTTGCCCACTTTCCTGTTCCCAGCAGTGAATGGTGAAGGCTTAGGAAAACATTGCAGGAGCAGATTTTTCTTTCAGCAATTCCCTTGGTGCTGTATGCCTTGCTTCCAACAAGCAATTGCAATTGGATGTCCTTCATCAAGCATTTTGTTTGGTAAAAATTTATCATCATTTAGCAGGGTTGACAGTACTTACAGATATTTTCAGTTGAAAAGAAAGAAATGTTCATTCAAACTGCACTTTTCATTGCACACTTGCAAATGTATCTGATCTAATTAGGCGGATCAGATTATAACCAACAAAAAAAGATGTATTTAATTCAATATTACACCTAAATTAAAACTAAAGAGTCCAATAATAAGGAAGAGGCAAATTATTAACTACATACTTGAGAGAAAGAGGGAAAGATTCAGATTTCAATAATTGTCAGGAGTTATATATAAACTTGAACATTTTGCCTTATATGCAGCTTCAACTGAAACTCGCTTTATGGCCAAATTTTACTTTCTCAGCCCTTTGCTGAATCTGATATGATGTTTCATTTTGTTTGTTTGTTTTAAATTAAACTAAATTCTTTCTTAGGTAACCACAAAGTTACTACTACCCAAATGAAAATTAAAACATTATAGAGAGAAGTACAAACTAAAATCTATTAGGTATTCCTCAATTTAAATTATTTTAATTTTATTAAACCTCTGCTTTGATATTCTCTGTCTGCTCTACTTCCACAAAAACCAGGACACCAATTTAGAATATTTCTATATAAAGATCAAGCAAGAATCTTGCTACATTTCCCAGAAGTGAAGCACACAAATATAGTGAGGCAATGCCTTTCTGAGTGTGGGGAAATGTAAAGCCAGAGGGCTGAGGTCAAAGCTCACAGAAGTGTGTAGGACTAAATTACTTCAGAGGGATATGGGCTATCTCTATTCTGACAAAAGGACCAGGCACCGAAAAACCAGAGCTTAATTCCACACAGAGCAGAGTATCTGACAGTGGGACTTCAGCAAAATTGGCATGTTGCTTCTGGAATTATTTCCCAAAGTCCATGGAAGTCCCAAACACAGACAAGCCAAAGATATCATGTCCTAGATAATATTTCAGGCAAATTTTTTTCTTTCTTTTTCATATTTCTCCATCTGCTTAAGTATTCTCAAAATTACATCAAGCAGGACTGGCTCTGTACCTAACTAACCTGAGTGAGATAGAGAAGATGAATTTGCATCTCCTCCAGGCGTAGTTTTTACTGGCTCTTCTATGCAAAACATAATCTAGCCATTTAAAAAAAATGTCCAAAAAGGCCTAAATACATCCCTCAGTAGAGTGCTCTTTCAATTAAAGTGAGTGATATTAGAGTTTCAGGTTCAAAGAATCTTGACTCCTTTACCTCATGGCTTTAACAGAAGAGATGCTCAAATTTTTCTGTAAACTTACTACTGAAATACTCTAAAACAAATATGTGTTTTAGTTGGTACAGGCACTGATTTGCAGTTAAAAAGAAAAGCTGCTCATTAAATAAATGGATGTTCATACTTTGAACAGTCAAAATTTTTGAAGTATACGAGATTAAAAAGATACTGTTCTCAATATAGTTTTACCCTAGTTTAAAATACAATACAACAACTAATGAACCTTTTAGTACAAGATGGTCACCCCAGTAAAGCAAAATAAAGCACAAGGCATTAGAAAGCCTGTATTAACTAGACATAAGTAAGTAGCAGATTTTCTCAAAAACTACTGATGGTCTGTTTTCTGAAGCAAAACAACCATGGAGAGGGCAGGGTATCCAAGCAAAATTGTGGAAAGAATTTAAATCTAGTTGCGACAACAAAAGGAAAGAGGTGCCACTGCAGTGGACAGAACGATGAAGCAGTGGAGTCACATGTGAGGTATAGCATAAATAAACTCCATTTGGTGGGGGATTTATAAGTAATAACTCAGATGTGACCTGCATCAGATTCTGAAAAACACAATGTTTTGAAGAGGGGAAACTGAAGCAAAAATTTTCTCCCAACATAAACCCGGGGTGATATAGACCAAGAGAGTCAGAACATTAGTGAGGCCACGGAGAGCTAAAATAGCCCTACCACTGAAAGGATTTCTCACAGTAAATATGAAACAGTACAAAAAATGACATGCTCATATCTCAATTACCTTCAGTTTAGAAGGTTTTTGTTAAATGGAAAGTCTCTATTTACTACCATGTTTAAAAACTATGATGGTCTGACCTAATGTCAGGAGTACCAATAAAGCATGACAAAGGTCAGTTGATTAATTATCCCTGCTCAACTTGAGAATACTCAAGTTGGAAACATTTATAAAACTATACTAATAACAAAATGAGACAAAGAACTTAAAAAGCTTGCCCATTTTCTCTTTGGCTAATTGTATACAATGGCATCTAGAACTTTCTCCCACTTAGCAGGACACAGAAGAATCTCAGATAGCTAAAACCCCAGCATCAGGATCCTTTGATTATCATAAACTCAGCTGTGAGTTGAGCTCTTCCTTAAAGCTGTGATGTCATGGTGATATGACAGTCAAAATGACTGGACTGAAAACTAAAAACCTTAACGTTTAGCACCAAGAGCCAGAATTTCACAGAAATTTTATCAAAATGAGTAGGAAATTGGGTAGGGGGATGGTGTGGAAAAGAATTTTTGCTTGTTTATCTAGTGAACTTTGCAGGGGAGGAAGAAAGAGAAGGAAAAAAAAGACGCAAATGCCACAAGTAATTCTTAGGAAAAGAATCGGCAAAATTTGAAATCTCTCAAACACCAATGATATATTTCTAGCAGAGCTCAATGGCTCAGTGTATGGAATTAAACAGCCAGTTCCCACGGTTATTTTTTCCTCGATTACATCTCCTATGTACATATGGAAAAAGAAGGAGAAAATGTGATAACTGCAAGAAGATTTTGACATCATGCACAGTCCTGCAAACTAAGCTCCTTTTCTAGGGGATGAAAAAAAGCACAGGTACAATCTAGGAGGGCCAATAAGGAAAGTGCAGAACTCTTATATTCACATACGTTGGGCTTCACTGAGGATTTAAATCAAACTTGCCTAATATACAGACAGTGGAGATTCAAGCTGATATTCTGGTATGTATTTGAAGCAAAGACTCAGTGCATGGAAGAGATGAAAACTTGACCTTCTGCTGTCTCTTAAAATGACCCAAAAAGTAGTAAAGATTAGTTTAATAAGGGAAAAAGATGGATACTTCTGCTTGTTTTTTATTCTTGGTGCATTAGTAAGTGAAGCAACCACAGACAAAAGGTCTATGTTAGCTAACAATCACATTACAATATTTTATGTATACCCTAACAGAATATGGCAACAACAGCAGTTGATTAGTGAGGTTGAAAGTAATTATAGTTCTCTTATGAAAATGGTTACAAGTTTAAACTGTGAGTGTACTTTAAAGAAAAAGTGTAAATGAATACAAAATGAAATGGAGTCAGGGCAGAATAATTAAAATCATATTATTTAACATCTTATTTTCAGAACTCTGCTGCATTAGTTATCAGAGACCCATCAGCAACTGGGGCAGTAACTCCATATTGTACTGTAACTGTATAAATACATTTAAACAAGGCTAAGAATAATGGTTTTCTGCCAGATTCAGATACAGTTTGCAATTATATTACTCAGTATGAGAGGTTCTAATATAACCTAAAATCTGAACACCTTGAGATTTTAATTTGAATGTGGGTCCTATGTGTGCAATATTTTGAGAATGCATGGAATGTTTTAGATTCCCTAAAAGAAGAGTCAGTGTTTTATATATCAACTCATAGTAGATGTAAGCTTTTATGTTCCAAGAATCTGACTTAATGGGCTACTAAAAATAGGCAGGATTTTGGAAAACATTGCAGGTTAATACCGTCTAGTTAAGACACACAAAAATGGTTTTCCATCAATTTAGAAACACAGTCAGTATCTATAGCTGTATTGAATCTAAAATATATTAACACTACAGTTATGCAAAGGCTTCCATTTTCTTTGCAACTGTTTATTTTAGGTGAGTAGAGTCTAATTCAAAGAATTAGGCAAAAACTGTCACCAATTTTTAAATAAGAAATTTAACAAGAAAAGGTCACTCAGCTTGACCAGGAGATGATCATTGTGCTATGAAACAGCCCACTTAAAGAAATTTATTTTTTTTTAAAGTTAAGAAATCATTATATAAAACATTCAAATTCCAGATAAAGGAGAGAGAAAGAATTCAAGTGTTTGATTACTCACTATTATTCCTGATGTCCTGAGTTGTGCTAAAATGGAGAGAAACTTTAGCACTTTTTAGGCGTATCTGACCCCAACGTGTTACTGCCTGCAGCTCTACATTGTAGTTGCTGTTGGGTTGGAGCCCCTCCAGGACCACATAATTTTGGGCCTATAATAGAATAAATATACAAAGCAGTTATAATATTGCTGAAACACATGCTCTTATTAAAAGCAGGCTTGTTATCTTAGGCACACCACTTTTTTGAAGTTAGAAAACTCATATATAAATTTCAGAGAAAAATTTCCTTTCTGCAAAAGATTTCTTTAATTGGACTCTGTTTTCCTGTGTCATTTTAAAAATACTAACCTACTTGATGTTTGCATAATTTTGGCAGTTTCTTGGCAATTCCAAACCTATTGTTTAGGCAAAACCTAAGGGGTTTTCTTCTATATAACAAGGTTTTTCTCTTATGCCAAAATCATTTTAGCAAAAGGAATTTAAGCACTTTATTCCACAATTTCTGTGTTAGTAAAGCCAATTGAAAACTTTTTTCTAGAGACAGCCAGTCTGAAGATAGCTAAAGTCCAATATTTAATACATTTTTCAATATATTCTATTTGTTTCAGCTTTTGAAAATAAAAATTTAAAAAGCAATCACCAACCAAAAATACCGTCTCATTGGAAAGAACATTTTTACTGTGTAGAATGGAAAATGGAACAGAAAAAGTACAATTTCCAATGTTACAGAAGTGTATAAAATGAAGAAACAACATATTAGATTTATCATTCTCCAATCAAAAACCCACATATTAAGGCAAGGCACATGATATTGTAGAGTCCAGCCTTCTCAGTCTTATACTTTATTTTGCTAGATTTAATTATAAAAATATCCTTCTAGTCCATATGCCAGGTGGCATGTTTTCATTGCAGAATTCCTGTGTCTTTCAAGTTTGACAATCCATATAGAGTAAAAGAAGTACCATGTACCAAGGTAACCACCCCATATTTAACACTTGGGATGATAAAAGGGGATTGCCAAAAAGTATTTAGTATTAATTATCTTTACTTGTCTAGTGCTGATATATTGACTATTACTTTTGATTAACAGTCTCAGTATTGTAGTCAAACTAATTCAATGTCTACCTGGAATGAATTAATGTAGAAATCAGTACAAAATTATTTGGGTTGGGCTTTATCTAAAGGTAAAAACTGGACAAAATTAATCTTCAGTGATCTTTAACAATTAAGATTTTTCCACCTTTCCTTTTTTTCGTTTTTTAAATGTTTGTGCATTTGCCATTCTTTAGCCTGGGAGTTGCTACAATATTCAAATGACCATTGGTTAGCTATAGCATCTGGAGTGTCCCGAATCTCACTGGCAGTGCTGTGCAGTTTCACAACTGCTGCAGAAGAAAAAGTACAAGGCAGGAGTAATATGAGAGATATTGTAAGAACCCGCCTTTTCTATAAAATACACCTTATATTTCCCTGTATTCAAGGTCAGAACTCCGTCTGAATTACCCTAATGTTCTAATGGACCTCTTTTAGTATTATTTGTATGTAGGAAATACCCTATAGAAAGGTATTAAAGACCCAGCCCAATTTTAAAATTCTCTGGGTTTCTGATGTACTGTCCAGCTTGCAGAGAAAAAGCTCCCTGTTATCTTCAGGCTGAAGCCTCTTTCAAGGTCTTTACTCAGTGTAAGGTTTCTTGAGGAACACAAACTTTTCTATGCAGCACAGTCCAACCCTACTCCTATCTTGCCACAACTATTTTTTTAAAGGACAATAAAGAACTAACCTTTCTTTCTGTACAAATTGACTTGCATGATTTCATCACACAGCCTTCACTGCCTTTATTGCTGTCAGGGTTTGATGACTGAGGGACAGAGGGGGAATTGTGTCCCTCTGAGTGTCATTCATCACAGTGCAATGGGCAGCAGGAGCCAAAACACAATGTTAACATAGACATGGGACCAAATTCTCACTATCAAAAGCACTGAGAATCAAGTTATGTCTAACTGATTTCTGTTATTTCTATCAAATTATTTCTATTAATTTATTTAAAATAACACGCAACATGCTTAAGGATATCATAACAAAAAGCTTTCCAGTAAAGCAATATTTAACACATTACTCAAGAAACTCAAAGAAACTTGCTGCTAAGGAAATATTGCCAGATCTTTGGTACAGCAGTTTATTTAAAGAGTTTTGTGTATGTTTTTCCCTTGGACCTATACTGATTATTTAATGATTTCTCCATGACTGTGTCACAAGTTTTACTAGCATATTGAAAGAAGAATGTGACGGACAATGTCAGGCTTTTTAAATAAAATAAACACTTGAAGAAGCACTAATTGAATAAGCCTAAATTTAGAGGATGAACAACATTTAACTTTTCATTCATCTTTCCTGAAAAATCTTATCATGTTTACCTGTATTCTAAGGCAGAAGTTTACTTCTCTCCCTGAGCTCAGTGTAAGAAAAGGATTGAGAGGTCAAAATTTTCTATGGGCTTCATTATATTAAAAATTAGGACCACTTCTTTACCAAATCATTGGAACTTATCACACATTTTATACTTACACTCTATTTTGTGCAAAAAATAAACCATATTTCTGTCCCAGTTACTGATTTCTTTCTTACCCCATCGGTAATCTTCCTTCTCTTTTTTTTTGCTGGAATTACATATTTGCTGTATGTCCAGCTCCAGAACACTTTGTAGTGGTGCACTGGGATATCAGGCTCTTCTGGAAGATCCCAAGTAATCATTGCATTTACACTCCCATCATTGTTTGCACTGATATTGGCAATCCTGATATTAGATGGAGCTGGTGGAGCAGACGGATCTGGAATTTAAAAAAAAAAATGAAAATAGTATAAGGGAAAAATTATGTTCATTAAAGATTATCTTCACCTCATGTATTTATTATCTTCACCTCGTGTATTTATGAGGCATTCATGAGCCAGCTCTACACTCTTAAATACATTGAGGAAAATCCAGGCAAAGACATCCTGTAACTGATATGGGTTGTAAATTCTAGAAATTCAAACTCTACTGAAATAAAAATTATGGGTTAGCATCCAGTTTGTCATTATTCTGTGCTGCTGATAGTTCACAAACATGATGAAGCTTTATCAAAATGTACCAGACTATCAGTTTTCCTTCTGCCACTCACTTTAAACACACAGTGAGTGTAAAACATTCAGGTTCTACAACTGGCCTTGTAGAGTCACCACAGAACTGTATGGCTGAAACAGTGAATATTTTTTTATTGCCAGATAATAAAATTATTTTTTGACATATTGAATCTTACTTCAAAATTGTAATATTGATATCTACCACCATGGGACATAAACACTTCCTTAGACAAAATGTAATTAAAGCATAATGATATATTACACCGTGGTAGAAATCTATAGAGGTTTTTTTAGAATGTCAAAAAGCAATTAGCTACCCCTTTGATTTATTTCACTATTCTGGTTCAATCCCTCGTCAATATCAACTGAGATAGTATTCCTTCTGTTGTCTTTGTGCTGACTCTAGAGTCAAGGACACACAACAGTCAGAGTTTGAATACAATTAAATATCAAATCTTTTCCAATATTAAATTTAAGGTTCTTCTTGTGGATTCACTATATAATATCCTGGTCCCAAGTAATGTGAATCAATGAAGATTTTACAACAAAGCTTCTGAAAGTCCAGTTTGCTGTTTACCAACTCCTACTTTTAATTTTTACCCTTTTAAAAATGTCTCTGTCAGCCAAAATTGATGACAAAATACAAGGAAACTGCAAAAACAAAATTTACACAGAAGTAAGCAGTGAGACTAAAAAAAAAATTAAAAGCATATTAGAAGAGTAAAAGAAATTCATAGCAATTAAGACAGGTTATGAATGTACAGCCATATGAGCCAGAAATAAAACTGGAGGTGTGAGGAGGGGACATCATTCATTAATTTACTGTATGGTTCACCTGCATTATTTTAAATTGGTAAATGAACTGTTAAATAAATATTCCACGCATACGTAATTAATCAGATAATCCCTATGACAAATGATCTCACTGAAAAATTCTATTATTTAGTTTATAAAAAAGATACATTCAGAATTAATAAAGACAGAATTTTCCTTTTAAAGATCAGCAGATGTGAAAAAATTACTTATTCCTGTTATTAAACAGGACTTTTGCTGAAATAATAATGGATACTCCTGTTTCCTCACACATACAATTCATCCTAACTTTTGGCCATAAAAGTTACAAAGCATACTTAAGTATTCTGGAAATTTAACATAATTTCCAAATAGTAATAATGCCTCACTTCTCACTTGTGTTTTTTAATCCACTAGCAAGTCAGTTGTGTTTATTTTTTCTGGCTTTGGAGAAGCACTGCTATTACACTCATTTCCTTACCTGTGAAGCTGCCAACCACTCCATCTTAAAGTATATTAAACTATTTATTCCACAATTAAAGAAAAAATTAGCTAAAGGTTTGTAGTATTCTCTCACACAATTTTTCATTTACTTCTATTATTTAAAAGGTAGGTATAAAATATAATTTAGGTAAACTAAATATAAACAGAATCATGATTCACACATGTAAGACATTTATTAAGCATTCATCTCCACTTATTTAAAATGTTAGGGGCTTTTTTATGTTATATGACATTATATTAGGGATATAAAACTTTTATAACCTGAAGTGCAACATGATCATATTACTGTAGGTGAATTATTCAGGTTATCTCCCAGAAGTACTCTGCATCATGTATTATGTATACAAAACATATGGCATAAAATAAAAGTGTTTCAGAGAATATATCTTCCTAAATGGTCAGATATGAGCAAAAATAATTCAACTTATACAACATGTTTGTCCTCATTCTGCATCTACAAGAGATAGAGAGTCATTTTAAAAAAGATTAAAAAGTTAAATGAAATAGCTCCTTTGGACAAAGTGTATCAGTTGATTAAAAATATTTTGAAGTTCTCTTCACCAGTTTTTTGTAGGTCTAAAAACTAATGACCAAATTTAGATTTTTTTTCTTTTCAAATGTTTATATGTCCATTGCAGCAAAAGAAAGCAGTTAGAAAGAACAATGTGTGTACTGAAGCCAACAGATCATTTCTTCTAAATTCTACAGCACCAGCATATCTGTACTTTCTATAATTGCACAGTTTATTGAAAACATTATCAGTAGCATTTCTTCTGTGCTCGCTGCACACAGTCCAGGCAGCAGACAAAATGATGCTCCACATTTGAAGGAAAATCTATGAATGTTTCTACTTTGCTGTGTGAGAGTACAAACATTGCATAAAAAATCATTGGGTAATTACAGTTAAGCATAGAAAGAATGTCCTTTTAGAAGGAATATACATGTGAAATAATACAGCAATAGCAGATATTTTCCTGAGTGCCCTTTTTCTTCAAAGACTCTTCTGAAAGCATCTCAAATGTCAACCATAAAAATGCCTTTGAACGAGAACAGTGGTGGTGGTAGAAGACAGAAAGGAGAAGATGTGCAGCTAACAGACATGAAAAGCTGAGACACTGAAAGTAACACATTTTCTATGAGAGCTTTATTAAAACTAGTAGACAGATTAAGAAAATAATTAGCTATAAAGATACCAAATATAGACGATAAACAAAACGTGTTACAGTTTTGCATTTAATCAACTAAAAAAAAAATCCTGTCTTTTTGTATGGGTGCATCAGTAAAATATTTTGTGGATTTGGGGTGTATTACCTGAAATATTAAGACATTCAGTAAGCATTTTATATCAGATTAGGATCCATTCCATATTAAGTGTTTCAATACCACCATATAATTTATTCATCTATTTTGATATATTTCTGTGACACTCATCACTATTACAACTGACAGAATGATCATTTTGCAAGTTAAGAACCCAAGAATATTAATTATTTCTTCATTTGAAAGAATTTAGTTTCACCAGCAAAGCAGACAAGTGAAAAGGAATAGCAGGGTAAGATAATGTGATCTCTGTTAACAGGAAGAAAAACCAAACAACCAAAACCCCACATTCAAAGAAAGCACTCAAAAAAAAAAAAAAACAAAAAACAAAAAACTACACCCCCTAGGCCTCCCCCAAAAAAAAAAAAAAAAAAAAAAAACCCCCAAAAAAAAAAAACCAAGAACCCAGAAAAAAAACAAAAAAAACTGTGACATGTTTATGAGCATGCTCCTCTACAATGTATGCCAGCCAGTTACCACATAACAGATTAGTTGTTTTTTTCTGCATTATTGAATGGAAAAGTCATGCTTCTACAAGGTGGTCTGTTCTGCTTATGTCCATGTAGCCATTAAAAGCACTACACAACTCATGCGAAAATACTTCAAGGTCTAATAACTGGTACTGAATCATAAAGCTGACTACATAAGGTGTTTGTTAACCTAACTCTAAAGCTAAAGTGATGTTCTGCTGACTATAAAGCTAACAACCATTCTACTGTTAGTCTTCATATACCTGAGATCCCTTTGACTGACTGCCTACATGTATAATTCAGATACACAGATGTAAAACTACTGGAATGGAAACTGCTGCCAGTTTTTCATATGCAAAGTACTGATACTTTATATAAATTAATTTATGTGAGTGTTAAATCAAATTCTTTGGTTTGCAGAAAGAGTAATGCTAATTGCAGCTTTTTCTTTGCAGCTTATACAACAATGCAAATAAATTACAAGTCATTCGATATATCCTAGAATTTGGCACAGACAGCTGTCCTCAACTCCTAAAAAATTCTGGTCTCAGCAGCCTGACAAGTAAATCGCTTCTCACTGCTAGAAATGATAGCTTCATTAGGTCAAGGCTGAAGCTGCTGTTCCAGCACATGGGGTAAGTACTCCATTTGTCTGGATTGTGTTTGGCTTGAGTATACCCAAAGGACTTAAATTCCTGTCTTGCTGACTACTCAGCCATCACAAGCAAAATTCTGTCTCCAGTCCCCAAAAGGGAGGGTTTCTTGCTGCAAATAAAGGAAAGAAAGAAAATACTCACATCATCACCATTTCAAAATGAACATCTTCCCACACTCATATTTGTGAACATACTAATAGTTTACATTTTCCAAAATTCTTTTAATCAACAGTATTTGCAAACACCTTTGTAAAATCTTAGAAAACAGTATGGACTAGATATACACATGAATCACATCATACACTGCTTCAGTGCATCCACTTTGTCTTTCAACGTGGCAACTGTAGTGAAAACAGTAAATGATTTGGAATAGATGTCGGGGGGTGGGGGGAATAATGGCATTGGAATCAGAATTCTCATTCTGAGCTGTAAAAGTGAGAGCAAGTGTGACAATAATTTAAACAGGTTTTTTTATGGAGCATTTTTCCTGACTTAAAATAGATCTCCCATTGCTATCTTTCCAACATGAGACCTTCCAACTCTAAAAGTCTGATGAAGTTGCTCTGCAGACAAGTTTCCAAACATTAAACAGTTCCACGGTGTAAGCAGGAGGACTGGCTCTGCCCAATGGAAATGGCACACATAAACCAGCTGTGCAACAGCATAAAAAAATCATTGGTCTCAAAGGAGCAACAGAAAGAATTTTATTGCCATGAGTGGGTGTCTGTTCTGGTTTTTCTAACACTCAGTAATGTATGCATGAAATCACATCCAGCCTGGTACTTATGTGCTGTGAAAACAATGTTGTCTGCTTCCTTTTGCTTGACAATCCATCCAGTGTATGCTGGCAACTACCTTCATGGTGAAGATAAAATCCTTTAGCAGAGGTGGAGGGGTCAGGTGGTTTGGGCTCATTGTGTTGATCTTCATGTCTCTGGAAATGGCACAGTACCAACCTCCAGACCAGTGAGATAATATATGACACAGAAATGCCCAACACTGAGTCCTAGAGTTAACTGAAGTCTCAGCTACTGAGAGTTCATTCTCATCACAAATTATAAAAAGCTAGGGAAAAAATAGCCTAAGAACTCTGAACCAAATGCAACAAATTAAAAATTGTGTTACTAGTGCCAAGCAGCTTCTGACCAGTTAGGTTAAGCTATCCAGTGCCTGCTTACTGAAAGAAAAACACAGGTCATTTTCATCCAAGGAGACTAATTTATGGATTGCAGGAACAGTTCTCTCCTTCTTCCAGAAGAAAGGAAACAGCTTGGAGAGAGCCAGTCTAAATATGAATAGAATGATATTTGTATCTTTATGGATCAAAAATGTTCTGTCAGGTATTCAGTTACCTTTATTTATTGCTGTTATTGGAAATTGTTGCCACTCAATTAAAGATAAAAGGAAAGCACACAAAATTTAAAAAAAAAAAAAAAAACTGAAAAAAGAAGTGGAAACCACTGCCAAAATAGCAGAAAATTTTGATCAATTTTAGTTGACACTATCAATGTAAAAGTCCACGTGCACAGTCCCAATTATATGAAAGAATTCACTTTCTAGGAGTAACATTCACTTAATTTTCCGACCACTCCACCACAGACTGATCTAGTCCAACCTGTGTTTCTTGTAATTTTGGAATCACCTTTTTGGCAAAACAAAGCTTCACTTTATTCCCTGTGAAGGGTCATGTCAGACAAGTGCATGCAAACCCTTTGTTTCCTTTATAAAAAATAAATAAACAGCGTTAAAAAATGAGCTCTGCCTAAGCTTTGAATATTTCAAAAATTCTCAGCCATGTCACTTTATTTAATATTTACAAACTAATGCCAACAAATTAATGTTCATCCTAGATGAACACATGAGGCAGTGTAGAACAGCTAATAAACCTTCACCACAAATCTTTATGGCATAAAAGCATCCAAAGCTGCAGTGGATCAGACCTCAAAACACAACTAAATGAAGACTGGCAAGTTGAAATGCTTGATGAAATATTCTTGTTTTCCTGGTTTTGTCTTTTTAATGACTGAGAAATTAAATTACTTTGGAAAATGTGGAGTTTTATTTAGTGATAAATAAGTTAATGGAAATTACCTCAGAAGACTTAACATCATTCTGAATATTTTGCTGTGTCTACTTAGAGAGCATGTTTTTTGCATTTTCAAAAAGACAAAACAGTATAAAACAGTATTGTGGTAACCAGACAAAAATTCTCTCTCTGAGTAATTACAGCACATTTTTGAATACTCCTCTTATCATTTTAAAATATTTAGTGACAGAGACTTTGTGGTGCCATACTTCTTCCTAGATTCAGATTAAATACCATATTTGTCCCCCTTTAAAGGAAAAAAAAAAACAAATAATTTTCTCTTCATTATTACTTATGAGCAATTGGTAAAAGTTCAGTATCTTGCGTGAGAAACTGTCTTAGGAATTACTGTCATGTTTCCTGATCAAAGGCTTTATTTTTGAAGAAACCTTCTGCTAAGTTTGACCACGATAATAATCTTCTCTTGCTCTTGGCACAACAGGGTGAAGTGAAACACTGATGTGAAATTCTGTCCACGCTTCACACAAACATAGCACAGAAAGCAGCAAACTTCCAAAGGTGATGTGCCAAAATCCACTTTTCTTTTCCAAACTGGAGGTTAAATGTGCCTGTAGGAGCTCAGCAGGGGCCAGTAGATGCTGGCACTCGAAAAACTAGGCACATCTGAGCAGCAGTTTCTTGCCTCTCTACCAAGCAGGGGCTGTCATTTCCCGCTGAGCTCCAAAGTCGTAATTAGGTGTTAGTGTGACAGGGTACCTGTTACCACTCTGACTGTCTGCTTGGGGATAGGGAGGCTCAAAGACACCAACAGAAGCATCCCAGTATGGTTCCCAGCAGTCAGCACCTAGCAGCATCTTCATGTGAGTCACCTAGAGTGACTACATATTTCATCTGGCAAACTCGACATCTTTCTAAGAGCCACTGGCAGTTCCACAGCCCCTGCAATGGCCAAGTGAGCTGTCAGCAAGGGCTATGAAGCTGATAGCTAACTGAACTCCCTGCTGCCTGTCTGTCAATTCACAATCCTCTGCCAAGGGCTGGAGTTCAGATTTGAAAACAGTTATTTTGAGAGTTAACAGAAGCCTTTTGAAGAATGCTGGCTACATACTTGCTGCCATTATCAAAATTTTGTTTTATTAGGTAAGAGCATGCAGAGGTACTACTGACTCCTACTGCCCTTGTCGCAAAGTCCTAAAAGTGCTCTCCATCTGCACTAGACAGCCACGAGCAGTTCTCAAGGAGAGCAAGTGCTTCAGGGGTAGCTGCAGAGACCACAAGAGGACTCTGGTATTCATGTAATGATTTCAAAACCACAAGTTCCTGAAACACAAATTACTGCCAGCTGGAAGACTATTCTGAAGAAATACCCCTATGTCCATATCCTGCTCTTACACTGTTATCCAGATACCCACCGCTGGCTGGGTCAGATTCTAGGCTAAAGAAACCCTCAGGATGACTTTCCATGGACATTCTCATACTCATTACCAAGGATGGTATTTTGAGCATGGCTAGCACACTCAGTAGGGGGCCAATTTTTTTGAAAGTAATACAAATCCTGCCTGAAAATGTCATGTTCAAGCCAAAACCTCAGTGCTACCATGACATACCTTTCTGTAATTGCAGTAATAGTGGTTTCAAGCAGAATAGTCGGAAAATATTTACAAATTCAATAAAACAGCTGTCAATGATCTCAATTTAAAAGAAAGTTTCAACAAACTTTCATCAACAAACTCCTGTATCTGCTGAAGTGCTGCTCAAGAAGAGAAAGGTACTGCTGCTGAAGAGTTCTTACAGTAAACTCAACACAGATCGAAGGAATTATTATAGTAGGAATTATAGGAATTATTAATGCATTATTTTATGTTTCTGAAATTGTATGCCACTTAAGTATCATAGTTCTTAAAATAATACTTCTATGTATGAAAAGGTTTGTGGTCACAGAAGTAACGGGACAACCATGCCAGCCAACCTTCCTACCACAAATACTGCTAGGGCAGCAAAAAAACTATTAAGGATAACATATTCAGTAAGAGGTTAAACCTTCCATACCAGCAAAAGTATTTGCATGCCTCTGTAAATGCACCTCCAAAAAGATTTTTTCTAGGACTGAATATGGCCAAACAGTAAGCTAAAAGCCAGCACAGGAACCCAAAGATGACAACTGCTTGTACTGCAAGATAATTCAGTCTGCAGAGAGGAGGAAATACATTCCTCAAAGTATGCAAAGTTGTATCAGTGTAAAGATTCTGTCACTATTAAAATAGCAACAAGTTTTTCTATTAGAAACTGCTTCTATTAGTAGAGTGAAGAGTGCTGGATCCCATTGTTTGGCACTAAAGTCAACTAGCATGGTCTGGATATGCCCTCATTACTGACTGCCTTTAAGAGAAGGTGACCACATCCAGGTCATCTGTCTAATAAGAATAGTTTCTGGCCTGTGCTAACCCCTATACTATGCCTAAGAGTTATCTGAGAAAATTCTTCTTCATGTTGGTCAAAAGGACACCAGGGAGAATGTGAGGAACTTCACAGGATGGGAGAATCGTTTGTATCTCCTGCATCCCCCATGTACCATTTACTGGTACAAAAATAATTTTGAAAGTTATTTCATTATCCAAACAGATGCAAAACCAGAACTATCAACAAAAATTCCTACAATACTTTGTGGATCATCAGGCACGCCTTTGTAATGAACAGAAACATGCTGCTTTGCATTTATGCTCTTTTTTATTCTTAAGCACTTACAATTAGTGCTAGCAAGAGGAAATTATATTAAGAGGGTCCAAAGTTCCAGCAAAACAATGCTGCTACAATTATTTAGATACAGGCAACAAAATATTCCAATACTCTAACAAATATTTCTCATAACTAAAAAGAAAAAAAGATAAACCTCTCAGGTTAACACATTGAAACCCAAGTTCTTCCATATTTCATGGTCAGGGTTTGATACCAATCATGTGGAAAATGTTTCAAAGGACTTTTATTCATGGAGACCCTTACTGATAAAAGAATAATGACACTTCAACTTTTGTTTACTGACTTCAAACAAATCTCACACCATTTCTAAAGTCAGTGGCAAAACTACTTAAAAACCCACCTGCTCAAAACCTTCTGCCACAACAGCAGGCAGATGAGACTGGGCTCCAGGTGGGAGTGAGAGGAAGGTGAGTACCAGAGGAAGGTGAGTACCAGACAGCACGAGGGAACACTCACCTCGGGAGGAACGGAAGTGCTTGCTGGGTGCTGTGAAGCCCCTCGTCCCGTGCACGTTCACAGCAGCCACGCGGAACTGGTACCACCTGCTCGCTCGGATGTCCGGCAGCCGAACACGCTCGTCCGTGGTCTGGTGGGGAAAATGTCACACTTACACTGGTTGTTCTGACATGGTTACCTGTCATCTGCTGTGCAACACCCGTCAGTCTGGCTGAGCACACACCAGCATCACAGGCTGCATGCAACCACCTCAGCTGACTCCAGCCATCACTCTACACTGCAGAGCATTTACAGCTGTGAACAAAATGATAAAAGCATCCAGTTCTACAGTGCATTGCAGGCCTCTTCTGGGAAAAAGTAGCCTTTAGAAAATAGGTGAAGTGCTGTTAAATTCACACAATTAGTTTTGCAGTTATCACAAACTTCACCAGTGTTTAGGGTCTCATTGTTCAGGTGATATTTCAGAGAACTTGTTGCCCCAGGTGACAGGACAGATTTCCTCAATTCTCAGAGAATTAGAGGTCCAAAATAGCTTAATGAAATCCAATGCTGTGAGAAGCCACTTTTTCTAGTTCATAGGAAACACAAAACTCTCAGATAAAGAATGTAAGCCTTCTTCACATCTTTGGCACTTAGGTCAAAAAGACACTTACAGCCTTAACTCTTCCCTGAAGACTTTTCTCAGGTCATAGGAGCTGACCTTTTCTCCAACAACACCTACTGAGACTGCCAGTGTCATGAGTTCAATTTCTAAATCCTGAGGGGAAAACCACTGAAATATGGCATAAGCATAGATATACTCTGAATCCTTTCAGCAGGAAATGCTTTACACATTCTTATTCTGAGCCCTGTTTTCTTCAATTTTTTTTACCCCGTTAAACTTTTGAAGAGCTATCATTTGCATTCTTTCATTTTTTTCCCTAAGGTACAAACACCAGAGCTGAACACAGCCTCCTGGTAACCACTGAATCACTTCCAGCTACAGACGTAGCATTTTTGTAGAATTCATCAAAAACACATCCACTTGGAAATTTTTACAATTGTCTCTCAATTATCCAGTTTTCAATTTACTTTAATATGTCACGTTTACTACATTTTGACTTAATACTTTAATCAATGTAACACGCAAACCTGAACCAGATGTCATATATATGTCTAAATATATTATACAATCATTGCTGATTACCATTACTGACCAAACATGCAAACTTATTAAAAATGTAGTTACATCAATTTCTTTTTACAAGCTCTGTTTTATACAACTTCAAGAAGCCACCTCCCCTTTATAGGATTCAACATTACTTGTAATGACACTAAGTAGCTCCCAGAAAAAGACACAATCTAATTTCTGCTTTTTGTTCCCTTTCAAATCTGTATAAGGAACCAGAAGCTGCTGACATAGGTCAGATACCAGAAACTGAGGAATTTGCTTCAGCTCTTCAGCAATGGCCTTTTCGAGCCCTGATAAATAAAATTTGTAGGTGATAGTCTCCAATTGTCTCTTCATTTGGTGACAAACAAAATTTAGGGAAACAAAGATCTCATTTGTGTGTGCATGTAAGGAAAGGAGACCCTTTCTAAAACCATATTATTGACTGCTCTCAGACAGAAGTGTTGTAGACTCTGAGCCCATAATATATTGCTGCTACTCATTGCCCTCTCCATTCAGACCCCTCTCTTCTCAACTTAAGCAGGAGTAGCAGTCCTGACACTCCACCTCATCTCCTTTCTTTTTTTAAATGTTATGTTACTTGTAGAGTGAATTATCCAAGGTTTGCCCCAGGGAAGAAAGAGCCTAGCTGAACCAACTTTTGTGATTATTTTTATTTTATGGAGCACTCAAATGTCTTATTTTTTTCCAACAGCTCCCCTATTGCTGCAACTGGAAACAGGTTCAGGACCCATATTTAATCATAAATAACTAGTTACAGTATTCTGGGCTTTTAAAATATATTTGCTGAACTTTGTTACAAGGCAAGCACAATCGGAATAAACTTAATCCCAAATTCCTCAAAGGAGTGTTATTTGTCACTGGCATCAGCTCATATTCTGTTGATTAAAAGAAAGTATTTCAGTTGTGTCAGTTTCCCATGGCAACCATGAAATAATGTAAAATCAAATAAACTGTCAATCCATAATGCCAAAATTATTTTAACTTATGAACATGCCTTGGGCTTATTACTTTCATAATTCATTTTGTTGGCCAAGCTCCTGCTAAGCTCAATGGCATGCAGGAGGTTTACCTCCAACTGCCATGATATAAACCCCTTTGGCACCTCTAAGTACCTTTTACATAGAATTAATACATTTGTAGAAATAACTAAGTACTGCAGAGATATCTTACACTACCTTAATGCTATATCTATTTTTTTTTCTGTTTAATTTCTTTAGTTTAGTTAGTTCTCACTACTTAAGTATGTTTGGAGCTGTGATCATAATATTCAGAGTCCTTTCAATATCTTTCACATTAATTTAAACCCACTAAAAGCTATGCTGAGTGGTACCAAATAACTAATGGTTAAATTTCATCACACACCTAAAATTCTGTCTGAATATGTAAGAAAAAAACAAAAATTTTATAGAATTTTTAAGAATCATAAATAAAAGACAAAAACTAAAGATCACCACTCAAATCATTACAGAACCATAATTACCATTTATTTGGCATTGCTTAGTTATAAGATGAATGTTTGGAAGGTAGCTTCAAATCCTATTTTCTTTGGAATAAAATAATAAATTAGTCCTCAGACAAAATAACTGGCCAACGTGTCCACCTTCAGTATCATGCAAATTTCAATGAAGACAAGGGAAAATTCCTATTAATTATATTAGGATACAACTTCATATGAGAGAAGCATGTAACCTTAATGACATAGGCTGGACAATACACATAATACCTTGACATTACTTCTCAAGAGCTCATTTTAGGTCCAAGGGACAACAGGCCACGGCCAGTGGCTGGAAAGCAGAAAGAGGTTGGGCTTTCTGTGGGAACTTGGCTGAGATTTGCCCAGAGCTGCTCCATTTAGGAAGCACTGACAATTCTACTCCTCTTTCAGCAGCTCTTAACTACTCCTCTTTCAGCAGGCTCTTAACCTTAACTGTTTAAATCCTGAGCCCTTTCCTGTAAATAGTCTCCTCATCTCAAAAGTGGATTATCTGTTATTGTCTTCAACATGGCTACAGAAATCTCCCTCTGCTGCTCCTACAACTGACTAGTGATCAAGAGCATCCCAGAGCATGGATGACCTATCCACGGATGACCTATCTTCAATTCCATCCTTCGTATGAGAGGCAAGGGGAAGATCTTCCCTAGCACCCTTCCCTAGCAACCCAAATAGTTGCATGCTATTTAGAACTATAACATGTTATGTATTTACAAGCAAAACTGTTCCTTGGAGAAAGAAAGGCTGAAAGTTAGAATTTCTTGTAAGGGAAAGGTGGGATTTACTACAACTGAGAGGGAGAAAAAAAGAGAATATCTGACCCAGCAGCATAGCAGTTCGACCATTCAGGTGGGATTCTTGTGTCAACACTTCAAACAGCCTATATATGTTATGTATATATGTCAAAAATTGGTGCAAAGAACTCTTCACAGCAAAGACTTGTACAGAGGACTCTATCCAAGGATTACAGTAATCAATGGACTGTTTCACTGTGCTCATTCCCTATCTTTCCCCACTACAAATTCTGGACTCCTCTCTGTAGCACAAAGGTTTAATAGAAATAGGAGAGTACAGCCTTACCCTGCTGAGTTCACAGCTCTACACCTCCGGAAACAACACGGTGATAATAGAATTTGCATTTCAAAAAGTGAAGGGAAACCCTCCACGGTATCAGAAAAGCTGAGTTTATGTTTCCTCTGATACAAAAGAAATTCTGAGTATTGTATCCACTATTCTATCAGAGGACAGCAGACCTGCCCTGTTTCATGTGAATGCAATCCCACACAAGGTGGACACTCTAAAAGCGCTCATCAAAGCAAGCCTCCCTGAGAGATGAAGAAATAAACCTGTAGTGTACAGAACTGGTGGTTAGCTCCAGCAGGTATTTCTCACTGTCATGGGCTGAGAGCTTCCTTGTGAACCTCAGAACCAGAACTTCAGGTGTTTCAGAAGCTTTATTTTTGAAACAGAGTAGCTGTCCACAGAGTTTAGACCACTGCAAGGTGAAGCACTAAGGTCTGTCACAATCAAGCTACCAGTAAATACTGTCCCTTATTTGATTTACTAACAGACTAGACTAATAAACATACTTCATCACTGTCTGCCCATATGTATATATATGTGTGTATATATATGTATGTGTGCATGCGTGTGTGTGTGCACATGACATCCATTCACACAACACAGACACGTTCTGTCTGAAAATAACTGGTCTGGCATATTTTAATCAACTTTATTATATTACAGTAATATGATTAAATAGCTGAATTTCCAATGTAAACAGTAATGCTACTATTTTTAGAGAGAATTAGTACCAAATGGAATGGTAAGTCTATTCACAAGACATGCAGTCTTGTGAATCTTGTGAATCCTATTTCCATAGGATAATGCAGCAGGTCCTGCTCAGCTGACTAAATCTTAAATTACAGTACTGTAGGAAATGTCACATAACACTTAGGACACTATACATCACAGCCAGCTTGGCCAACTAGCATCTTAGTTACCATAGTTTTTATATTAACCAATGTAAATTAGTCAAATGGTTAATCATATCAAGTTTTCTCCAAAATACACAGTAAAAAAACTACATTAAAGTCCCTTCCTCCAGAAGTGAAAAATAACTAAAATTGTTTTCAATGTGCTTTCTTTCCATATAAAATTGCAGAGCAAAATAGTATACTAATAGATTGAGCCTTCTTCCTTAAAAAGAAAACATAAAGATGACACAACAAACATGGCACAATAATAAACAAACTTTTTCAAAATTATTCTTTCAATACAAATTAAAAATTTGTGTCAGACATGAGAAATTACTTGCAAGTTAGCTCCTCTAAGGGCAATAGCATACAGCAAGTTGTTGTGGTTTTTTTTTTTAACTTAAATCCCTTAAAGTTATTGAAAATTATAACCACATTTGTTCTTGGACAGACAAAAAAAATATTAGATGAGTAACTCTGATGAAATATTATGAAATTTCTTACAAGAAGATGCAAACAGTAACTTTGTTTATGCTATATATGGGTATAAGCATAGAGAAATTCAGATCCTCACCCACAGCTTTTTTGATCTTTGATTACTCTTTACACGGTCTCTACCTTCAGTAGCAGAGTAAAGCATAAGCCAGAATCATCTCCCCTGGACTGAGATACTCTAGGAATTCTCAGCTAAATGGCTGAGCTGAGCTCTTCTCAGCCTTTGCCTGTAAGTAAGGGCTCATACTTCAATGTTTTGGAACCATACAAGAAAAAAAAAATCTCAGTTACACAGACAAGGAAAGCCTGGAGGCTGTGCACACAATCACTGTAGTCAAACTGGATATCCATCCTTGCTGCTGATATTACAAAATAAATTCTATCACATTCAGACAAACAAATCTGATTGCCTGGTGGGATGTCTAAAACTACAAACACCATGGAGGTACACTACTCTATAAAGACACAAATTCTGATTACTAGCACCCCCCCAAGGGTGCCCAGCCTGCATGTCCCATAAGGTACACACAGTTCACAAAGGCAGTCAGGCTCCTGAAGTGTGCCTTGAACTGACATTCCCAGTGGGGTACACCAAACTGACATTCCCAGTGGGGTCCACCACACAATCAAACTCATGTCTCCTGTGATGCAGAAGGGACAGTGAAGTTGTCAGAAAGATGTCAGTCAGAGGAGGCTTCTCCTGCCACAGTGATTAACTCAGCCCCTTCTGCCTGCATTCACCGGATCCCAGGAAAGGCAGCTGTCAGGCTTCTTATTGCTCTAGCACAGGAACATGTTTCTCAAACACTCTGAAACACTCTCCTGCAGATCCACTGCAAGGCAGGGGTTCATGTATGTTCAGCTACTGTGGAGCATCTATAGCGCATGTTCCCAGAAATGTGCATGAGGTCTGTTCCTGGGATGTGAAATAGCAGAGCACTGTGCTCCCTTTGCAGCCTGGATTCACCAGCCACAACAGCTGAGCTTCTACAGTCGATCACATACCCATGGTTCAGTAACAGAGAGGAGTAATTCAGATCTGGCACATTTTTTGCTACTTGGTATTTTCCTTGCAACAAAGGCAGGAGGCTGTTTCCTGGAATGGAGAATGCAGGTTCAAGACCTGCACCTCAACTGAGAGATCATAAACCACTGTGACTTGATCAGCTTTGCACATACTCTCATGAGCTTGCACAAGCAAGGTTTCCTGCCAGGGTCTGCTGCAGGGGGCTTTTTCTGAACAAGACTACAACATAGTGACAGCTCCCTCTAGCACCATGCTGAAGCTAAGAAATTCACTACTGAGTGTTCTGTCTCACAAGCTTCATGTTTTTGTAAGATAACATTTTCCAACACAATCTGAATTGAGAATGAACACAAATTGTCACAGAATTTAAATCCCTTACCCTATTTTGTGGATGGTTCTACTTAGTCTCTCTTTCCTTTTTTTCCCTAGCTATAATGATGTTTTGCAGATCTTTTCAAAATCAGCATTTTATTTTTCTTGTCAGCAGGGATAAAGGTGAAGCAGTAAGATAAATGATTGGAACTCTGCCATCCAGGTGGACTGTCAGCATGGTAAAAAACAGATTGAAACTGGGAAGGAACTAAGTGAAAATTTATGCTCTGTTGGCTGCTTCTCATTTAGAAACATTTGCTCATGAATCTTACATTTTCAGTCTGGATTGCACTGAGTGATAAGAGCATGACATCACAGACTTTTCTGAACTGGGAGGATCACACCTGAGAAAAACAACTTTACAAAGAATAAAGGTTTTAGTATGTTTTTCACTCTGTTTTCTTTTTGTTTTGCTTTTTGTTTTTCTAGTTTTTTTGGGTTTTTTAAAGATAAATAGCCTTTTCACCAGCTGGATTTTTTAACTTTTGGCAAGAATCAAGCCATGCCTTGGACACTGTGCAATGAGTCCTACTAAACTCAGAAGGACTATGTCTCTAATGTGCTTTCTTGGATGGATTTTGGTCTCTAATTTTACATTTTTCAAGAGATTTGTGACATTCTGAGAGTGGATCCATACTGCTTACAAAGAACTGACCTGTGCCACAGTTTGCCAGTTCGTAGCATCATCCTCACTTGGATGGATTCCTTGATTCCACCTCCTCTGAACAACATAGATCACAGGCTCAATGGAAATATTGAATTTTGAAGACCACTTCACCTCCAGGTCTCCAGACTGATGTTCTATGAATTTTAATTCTTTCCGGGGTTTCAGTGGAACACCTGTAGCAGGAACACACAGATAAAAATATATGAGTAATTTTCAAGATATGCTTAAGCCATTTGTAGATAAAGCTGTATAAAAAATAATTGAAAAAAAAAAAAAAAGCCTGCTTCTCAGAGAAAATGCCAAAAAGGGAGGAATGATAAGCATGGAAGTTTCAGAACTGTTCCTAGCTAACCCATCTCTGTTAACATTAAAATTTGTTTTTAAAAAAATCTTCAAAATTATTTATTTCATTAAAAAACTGAAGGATGTGAAACTTAAAAGCTAAAACTGACTTTACAGAGATCACTTGCCCAATACAACTCGGAGAAAGATCCCTTTGATCCCAAGCAGAATCAGCTACACCTGTTGTTCAGTTTTTCACCCAATTTATCCTTAAACACATCTAGTAAGAAAATATCCATAGCACCACATAGTAGTCTATTTCACTACTTCTCCATCCTTTCTACAAGAAAGCTTTCTCACTGCCTTGTTTAGTTGCCTCAGCTGCATCATAAAGTCAATACTGGTCCAAGATGTTTGTGGATCATGGGGAACAGATTCTTTCTTTTATCTGTGGAGAAGATTATCATGTACCACAAGACTGTTATCATGCTTCTGAATGTTTTCTTCTTCAGTCTAATAACCACAGTGCACTCCATTTCCCTTTAAAATTGGTATTCCCAGACCCCTGTTCATTCTTGCAGTTGCCTCTGGAGACTCTCCAGTTGCCCAAAAGCCCTTCTCCAGAGTCAAGCCTAAAACTAGATGCAGACTGTGTTAAAGCTCTTAGCAGTGCAGACCAGTGAAGTGTGATTATTTCATACATCTTACATTAGTCTGGTGTACTTAAGAAAGCTGTTTGCTTCTCCATGGCTGCATGATCTTATTGACTCACATGCTGCAGCTGTACTGCATGATGTGTCACTCTCCATTCTTCCCTAAAGAGCTAGAAAAGGTAATTCCAAAACAACTTGGAATAGATATGTTATATACATTGTCAAATTCTTGCATTTCAGAAAAAAAGATATATTTCTAAAATATTACTGCAATTTCTCATTACACAGTGACACCAAAAGATGGTTATTTATATTCTTATACTGACAGTAATATCACCTTTTTGAAAACTCTTGCAGTAGCTTGAAGGAAAAAAACAACTCTTCAAATTAGACATATTTTGATTAAATCAACAAATCAAGATACATTTCTCTAGACAGACGTTAGGAATATTTATATTTGAGTGTGCAGCATTTTGTCACTTGAGGGTATGTTACAAATAAGATCTCTGTGTTGACATATAAACCTTCTTAGCAAGTTATCATATGCACTTTAGTTATTTTGTTGTTTCAATGAGTGTCCACATAAGGACAGCTGTATGTATTGGTTAGAGAAATTGTTTCCTACTCAGTCCGCCACTGATGAATTAGTACCAAAATTTTCTCAGGTGAACAAATCACTTTTACATTTTAAGGTGTGTTCTTATAAATCTGAGTATACAAGTAACTAAACATAAAATAAAATAATCTTGTAGATCTTCAAGAAACCTAAAATCCACCTGAAAAAAAATACAGTACCTAAATGTGGCTATCACAGCAGTTTAGATCCTGGAAATCCTTCAATAGCCTAAAGTCTTAGTCTAACATAATGAACATGATTTCAGATTTCCACATTTGCAAATCCTTCTTTAGTTATGATACACAATAATCCTACAATTTGCATGTTCAGAAAACTTCCATCTGCTTTGCATTAGGGGCAGTTGGATTCACTTGATTGCAAGTATCTCGGTGTTACGTAATCGCATGCAGATGGAGCGTGGCAGCACAAACAATGAGAGCACAGCACAAGTGCACTTTAAAATACTTCTGTGGAACCAGCACCATCAGTTTAATATCCAGATGTGAAGATCCAATTACTCTCCAATGTGCCTTTTATTATGTAAATGGTCAGCCCCTTTTTTCGTGCTGGAACAAATTAGTCCTCAGTCTGCGGTGCCCCAAAGTCTGCATTAGTCCAAAGTCTGCAGTGCTTAACCAAAGAATTCAAATCACTGATCACTGTATGTGTGCAATAGCAGAGTCCAGGAAAAATGGTTCTAAAGATGTCTTTCAAACACCACATGCATCTCTGTGTCATGAAAAGTAGCTGAACATTGGTCTGTCATGAAAACCTGTATCTTAAACATTGGTTCCCCTAGAATTCAAAATGCTTCCATTGGAGGGCCTTGTAAAGGGTAAATCCATGGCATCAACATAACTGTAAACACAGTTCTGCAAGGACTCAGAGGTGGACACTTTTAAAACTGTACACTATGTTTATAATACAAAACTATTTTTCTTTAAGCATGGAAAGTGTCATTAAACTGTGGGTGACCATCTGACCCCAGTTATCCTACTATAGTCTTGCAACACCATCAGACCCTTTGATCATCCAAATCTTCCCTTCACAATTTACCTTTTTTAACACAGATTTGCAGAGACACTTTCTCAAGTCCTTCACTAGATGAGACAGTATAAAGAAGCGGGATGAGTCCAGTGATAGAAGAGTAGGAGAGAACATTTGATATCTCCACTAAAGGGATATAAATACGCAAAGACTACATAACCAAATAGTAATACTCCCAACAGAGATGCAAATGTACTTGCTAGGTTAATCCAAAACCATTTGTAATATGTCTTTGGTGGCAGTGTACTTACACTGACATTTTTTTAGAATTTAGCACACAGTACTAGAAGGTAAATTTAATTTGGTAATTCAGCAAATCAGATGGGGATTTTACGTCTACTGTTGTAACTAATCTCCAGCACTTGATCAACAGTAAAACTATAGAAACTTCTGCAGACTCTTAGATTCAATCTGAGTTCATTTTCAAGCTGTGAGTGCTGTCAAAATGATAAGAACAAGTACTGAACTTATTCACTAGATCTTAGTCATGCTTGCAGAGTTTGCTCTTCCTTAGTGACAGGAAGGTCATTTACCCCTGGAGGAAATGAATAGCAAGCCTGCTCCACTTCTATTTGTCTTTTGTTGCAGAAAGACAGGTTGAAGAGGCTAATTAGCTGAATTCATCAGCTGAGAAGGCAGTAGGGTATTGAGCCTGCCCTTCCTCTGCAAGACATATATGCTCTTACAAGCCAGCACCTCCTGCAGATCGGTGATAAGATGTTAGGGAAGGTTACCTCTGCTCCCATTTAATCAGGCCAAAGAGAGGAGACCTTCCAGTGTGTGGTTACAGAATGTATCATATCCTGTCATATGCTGTGTCAGTTCCAGGAGCATTTAATCCTATTTTATTTGTTTGTTTGTTTTTACCTTTTCCAGTTAATATATTTACTGGAATGCTTTGCAGTTGTGGCATGGAGCTTGAACGTGTAAATCATTACACACACAACATGAATGCCTGTTTACCACTCTGGTCATTTGTCTCAATAAGACAAAAGAAATAAGTAAGTGATCCATTTTAATAACTTTCATTTTGAAAGGTGCTATGTGCTGGTGTATACTAATTCCTTATAGTTTTAATGGGGCTGCTCTAAAGCATCCTGCAAACAAGAGAGTTTCCCTTCTGAACACACTGAAAAAGATTTATTAACATTTTAGTTAAAATAATGAACTTAAAAATAAATTCACAATCCTCCTTACCTATTTTCTCATGTTTCTACCCACATTTGGAAATAAGCATGGATTCAAACCTAAGCCTGGAGCTTAGACCAGGGTTCTGCTGATTAGGCTCCCACAGAGAGCCCACACTATCTGATTAATAAGTGAATAACTGAATAATATTTATTTTTTTATCACTAACATAGGAAGAATTTATTCTTGTTCAAAAACACCAACCATGTGGTAAAATAATATTCTTTTCACAAATGCTACTTTTTCTGCATTAGAGCATTTTTCAAATATTTCCGTGTATAAAGCTTTTTTAAATTCCAGTAAATTAAAATCTGGAATTTGTCTAAGCAAAAAAATTTCTTTGCTTATATGTTCTTTTCAAAGGATGTCAAAGAAAAGGTTTATTCACAGAATCTCAGGACTCAAGTCAATTAAAAATTTTTGAATAAGATTGCCATAGATTCAGATAATAAATTAATATATATCTGTATGGAGATATTATAATATTTCACTACGTTGTTCTGTGTTGATTTTTCTTTTACCAGATTATTTCACAGCTCCTACTTGTTAGTCCCATCTGCTTGGCTTGTAGACATAAAAGTTTTTTCTGATTAGTATGTTGCTGCTGCATTCTCTCTCATCCACATCAAATTACGTGAGATTTCACCTAAATTGGCAAAGTTTGATCTACTTTAGATGACTCATAACAGCCACAAATTTGCATTCCACAGATTTCCAGACATGGGCTTCACAAGGGGGAAAACAAATCATAAATTTAAGCAGCATTTCTCTCTGGTTTTCTGCCCTTTCACTGTGCAGCCACATCTCTACAGGTACCTCTCCTTTTTCTTTCCATCCATACAAACTCCCAGCAAATGGAAGCCCTGGTTTACTAAGAGACTTCACTATGACAGTGAAGTCATAGCCCAGTAATGGTACATATTAATAATCTCTACCTTTATACAGATTTTTTGGAATTTGGCACGTGTGACCACATCCATTGGAACAGCATTTCTTCACTCCAGAACATTCAATATCAGCTTCACAGCTTTCAACACAGGCAGCTGCAAAACCACTGGCCTTCTCAGGTGCTGGGCAGTCCCCTTGCTTCACAGACAGGATGTACTTAAGGAATTCACAGCTAGTTAGGCATTCATAATTCTTCTTGGGAAAAAGAGGCTAAAAGGAAAACAGAAGAAGGGTATGTTTTCAACAGGAACAATCAAAACAAAAAAAAAAAAAAAAAAAAAAAAACAAAAAACCAACAAAGCTAAAAAAAACCCAACCAAACCCCATCAAAGAAAAAATGTTATAAATTTTCCAAGACCTCCTAAAGGATTATTCAGATTTCCAGCTTTTGCAAGACTATCCCTGAATATTTATATATTCAAGCCACTTCTGAAAAAGCATTCCAAGTACAGAATGATGAATTCCCTCAAGTAAGACCACCATATTTAATGGAACAATGTTGTTTATATCTGCCAGCTTTCCCTTGTTTTCCTCACATTGACTGGCTATAAAGTTGCTCAATGACAGATTAAAAACGCTCCCAAAACAAAGGGGAAGCAATGGTCAGACAGTCTGCTGTTTTTGGACTACCCCACATTCTTTCCTCCGTACTTTACAACACTTTCCCCACAATATCTGATGTAATGTCATTCTAGATAAATAAGAGAAATCTTCTTTCATTATACTGTTTGAACTAAATTGGCTAAGAGAAGATTTTGCAGCTTCTTTATGTTCTTGCCAGCATATTAGCAATTGTATAATTCTTCATGGAACTGGAACTGCATTTATGATAAAATGATCAGCAGAAAATAAAAATTTAAAAAAGCTTTAAATATATTGATTAAAGATCAAAGTGAATTCTACTTACTTGAGAAATCTAGTCCTAGATATTTCAGAAGATGCTTCAATGCACAGACATTTTACAGCATATGTAATACTCAGAGGTTTGCAAGGTCCACTTAAAACAGTATTTAAAACAGCTTCTACAACCCTGGGAGGATATTGTGTGTGCCATGGAAATTACATCTCCTCTATGTTTAGTTTGGTGCAGAACCAGCTCAATTGATTCCCTCAGAATGAGTGCAGCATGTAACTGGCATTGTCTGTAGCTGGCCCACACAATACTAAAGCACCAAAAAACCTTCCACCCTGACAGATCTAATTTACAGGTTCCTAAGTCTACACAGGAGTTACAACCCACTCTCTATATCCAACTAGCCACATAACTTCTGAAACTTCTTCCATATTTAAATGTTTTACTTTCTTGTTTTTACTCCTCTCATATTTCTGGCGAAATGAGGAAGACTTGGCTATCACAAGGCCCAGGTGTTTCACAGACTGTTCTCTAAAGTCACTGCGGCCCAAGAATGTAGCCCTACATTACCTCTCCCATTTTTCATACAAGACAGTCCAGAATTTTGAACCAAGCTTTCAGGCATGGATTTGGGTGTTACAGGCTTTAGCCAGCCTAAATGCTGCAAAAATGAGCAGGCTCTATGTCTCCCACTGACCCCGGTGACTCTTGGCCATGCACTCCTGCTGTTCCCCCCACTGGAATGCACCTGATGCCATGGTTAACAAGTTAAAAAACTAAATGAGTAGGAGACTAAATTTATAGGGGAAAAAAACCCCCAAAAACAAAAACAAGCAATCAGATAAATTGTCCTTCACACATAAGGTTTCCTTTAACATTCAGTAATACACTCACTTGGTAGATAAGAAGTAACACATGAAGCAGGAACTTTGAGAAACACAAAGCTAAATTGTTGCTTCCAGATTTTTTACAAAATACAAAAAGATTGAAAACACTCTCACAGGAAAACAGCCTCCTTTCACTCAATCAATGTCTATGGAGTATGCATGAGTCGGAGATGAAGGAAAATGGTCCCGGGCTTTTGTGTTTGAAGCTAATTTCAAATCCTAAAACATCACAAATTTGCAGCTACTTAATTAAAAATGTTATAGCTCCCTGAGGCATAATACGTCCTCAAGGCTTCTCCTCCTCACCCTATTTCACAGCTCATTTTTCAGTTAGCTGCTAAATGTGCTGCTCCTCATTATGGGCCTTTGAAGTTCTAAATTTAGCTTTAACCACAAAACACTAATCAAAGAAGGATGCTCACTCACTGTTTTGAACTACAATAGAACAGTGTTCTACAAATGTTTTCCTTTTAAACCAATTTTATACAAATTTTCACCCATATCTGGAAACATATAATCTGAGTGAAGAGCGATATACAAGAACAACACAAATTAGACCCACTAAAACTGCTTTTTTACAGTACTCTAGAATTTTGTATATGAGAAAGTAGCAAATAATCTGGATTTAAAAAAAACTCTTGCAAGGCTTGGTTTTCATGAGAAACCTTTATTTTGTCTTCTGTTGTAACTACATAGATCAGTAATTCAGTAATCCCTATTAACACATTGTTGCATCTAACATCTGTTTAGTTGAAATTACAGCTATTCCTAATCATCTTCATGATGCTTAAAATAATTTAAATATAGGACATTCTCTTATAACAGAAAAAAGTGTCCACAGTGAAGAGAAGGAGTTAAATCAGTGTAGCAGTAAGATCAGTGTATCAAGTAAGGTCACTTCTATTTTTTTTATAGAAAAAGATTAAAATCTTCCTAAGAACTCACTTTCATAGACTTGGATATATTTGAACCTTTTTTATAGTAAGGCAAATTTCTATTGAGCTGATACTTCCATTTTGAACTAAAAACCACTTAAGAACTGAAACAGATCACTTTCACCAACTCAGAGCCATGTTTCAAATCCAATAAAAAATCTCCTTCTTTGCTCTGGTTTGACTGATTCAGGTTTGCTTCTTCACAGATTATTCTGACAGATGGTTCAAAAGTTTTCAAGAAAACATTTGTTCTTGAATAATTACATATTTTGCAATTAGTCTTCTGAACTTCAGTTACTTCTGGAGAACTTTTATACTCTCTTATAAATCAGACTGAATTTCACATACAGAAAAGTCATCTGCTCTAGCTATCCTGCACAAGGATTTTTCACACAAATAACATTTTATCTTTTAAACAAAGATTGCCTTTCTTACACATGTTCAGAAATGATAGAAGCGCAAATGGTAGAAATAGCATCTTAGAGGAGGGATGTCAGGGCACCTTCTGGGAGATGCTATGTAAGTGTGACTAGATCGAGTCTTTACAAGTTGAGATAAAGCATTTGGCCAGAAAAACCCTTTTTATAACTCAAAATTAATATGGCTACATTGTTAAACGTGTGTCCTTTCAAAATAAGGCAAATACTGCAAAAATACCATGGTTTTCAGCTGTCTCCTTGAAGCTAATAATTTAAATTCAAGAGACTGCTAGAACAAAGTGAGAAAGCCTGCCCTTGGGCTGACCTACCTCACAGAAGCTTTGGCAATGGTTTTTCTTCAGGTCCCAGGACTCTTTGCAGGGCTCCAGGCACTAGGAAGAATCAGGAGGCAGAGAAGTGTCAGAAAGAGAATGAAATAAACAACCACAAATAACCTAATTTCTTCTCCAGTTTTTCAGCCCACAGAAAGTTAATAATCCACTTCTCCTGGGGATAAAATTGTGTCATTGAGTCATAGTGTCAGAACAAGGTCATGAGAAGTCATGGTTAGATCACAATAAATAATTTCAGTATTTCTTAGAATACAAGGCAATTGACTCATTGTTTATTATGCCATCCTACTTTCCAACTTACTGGATGTAGGTCTTAATACCATCTAACACCATGTTCCTGGATCACAAAGACAATGTCAAAAGCACTACTCTGAACTACAGAAAGTGAAATCTTCTCCTCACTGACCAGCCTAAAGATTAGACAGGCACATTGCCTTCCCAAGCGAGAAACTATTTCATCAGGCTGTGGAGTAAACTCAGCAGAGGTTAAAACACAATTTCTGTATAAATGGATAATGTTCACTGGTCTGTTAGCAAAAGCACTTTATTTCAAGTACCATATTATCATTATTTCACCTTCAATCTCTGTTGCAATGGTTATACAGAGAGCTGAGATACAGAGCTAAGCTTCACACAGCATAAAGAAAAATCACACTGTTAAGAGCATTTACAACAGCTGAAACATAAATTCAGAATCACATCCAGAAACCTTTTCTCTTCCTTTGTTAAACATAAAACATTGAAAAATACTAGCATTGTTGGGAGCTAATGATGCCTACTCCTCCTGGTAATAGTGGAAAAGTACTTATCATACCAAAACGAAAGGCCTTTAACATGCAATGCAGTATTTATGTAGTTTCCTTTTATGCATAGTATTAGACTGGATCAATATACACATGCTATTCAAAATCAAACATGAATACATATAGGCTGCATCTCAGTGCTACACTGAGTGTATCATCAGTGTTGTAAAAACAATAGTGTTTTAAAATAAAGCATTTTTCTTACTAGCAACAAAGCCTAAATATGTAATAAAAACATTAATCACAGAAGTTGCATATTTTTTAAAATATTTATGATTTTCTTTATATATATATTGATATTTTAGGCTTAGTTTCTAGCTCTTCAAACCATTAATCACAGAAGTTGCATATTTTTAAAAAAAGATACCACTTATGATTTTCTTTATATATATATATTGATATTTTAGGCTTAGTTTCTAGCTCTTCAAAATTCACATGTTGTATACAGATTAATTAGAAGGATACATGATAAAATATCACTGAAGTCAGTAAACTCTATTAATTCCACAGTGTTGTTCCTCCTGTGGTGTAGGTACGGCACATTTGAGCTCAATTCCACTATCATGTCATTTTACGGCACTCCTGTTCAATGAATGTACTCCAAAAATTACTGCGGTACAAGTGGTTTAAACAGAAAATGAGACACATTTTGACCATTCTGTAACTTCATCAGTGATGCTCAAGACTGCCAGGTTTGTTCAAGGTGTTTGTACCAGTCTGTATCTCCAGTGCAAGTCAGGCTGCAGCACCCTATCTGGCTGTCACTCTGTTTCCAAAGTCAGTCAGGACAGCCCAGGCTGCTTTCACTGGGCCCCAGCAGCTCCTGCCTCAGGGCAGGCAGAGACAATGGGCATCTTCAAGGGAAGATGGACAAGATGAACCAGGGCAGAGCAGTGTCACCCTTGAGCCAAGAATGACACAAGAACAGATGAACAACCCAAATGCAAGAGGAGAAAAGAAGGGTTTATTACAAAAAATTCTTTGGTTTTTATAGACCAATATGATACATTTCACTTGATTGGCTAGTTAATAAAAAACACCTTTCTCACACACTGTCCTTGAGAAAAACAGGAAAACAAGGTGGAAAAACACCACCTGCAGATTGTTTATACTAACAAGTTATCACATTCCTACATCTCCCTAAAAATTCTCACAAGCCATTGTGAGAAACGATTGCCATTTCTCTCTCCCTGACTGCCTGGCATCCACAGAGCAGCACCCTGCAGTCCGACTGCTCTCAGAATATGTCAAGGAAAAAAGATGGTGGAGCCTGTCATAAGGCCTACATAGACTCTTACAGACTCTGGTTAGGGTACACACTTACCTAAACACTTACACAAACAAAAAAAAATCTCCCTAGTCCTGCTGTATGAGGAGTCCCCAGAGCACTGGGCTAGCCCGGCACCACAGGCAGCTGCAGAAGCCGACTGTCTGCCTTTAGTGGAGCTGTGCCATTGCATCACGTTGGGTTAAGAGTAGCTGCTAGCAGACAAAAAAGTTGCCAATAGAAGATCTGGAACTGTCTTGCTCAAGAGATAGTTATTAACCTTGCAATAGCAAAGATGAGGACACCTCACAAACACAGGTCTGTGCATTCATCCTCCTGGCTAACCTGTTATGAGGTTTCCCTGAAGTGGGAAGCTAGAAACATTGAAAGCTTGGATCCAGGTCTCACCTTGAGTCCTCGACTTAAAAATGTAAATGAGCTGAGATCCTGAGATCCCTCCCACTGCTTGGTCATCGGATTCAGGATAAGAAGAATCTGGGCAGAGCAGCAGCTGGCAGCTGGTTTGGGCTCTACTTTATCTAACAAAAAATACCTTGCAGACATAGCCACCTGCCACAGAAGCCAAGCTTAGGCATGAAGATGGCAGAGCTCCAGCAGGCAGCAGGGCAGTGGCACAGGGAGCATCCCAGCCATCCACTTGGCAGGTGCCACTGGTCCCTTGGGGCCATCACTCACCCTGACCTAGCACCACACGTGGGCTCTGCACTGCCGAGGCAGGATGAGATGTAGGGCACAGCACTGAACATTACGGGACAGTGACACTCGTCAGAGGATCATCAGTGCTAATCACACCAGCCTTGATAACTCAAATCCTCCTAAAGAGCTTGTTTCATCAAACCCAGTGCTTAAATCTGGAAGTTGGAGGCTTTTTTTCCTCGTCCAGACTGCTGCAGAGTGATTATTCTGCACTAAACAACTGTATCAAAAGCCAATTGCTAATAGAAAGCACCCCAGTATTTGTCATTCCTCAAAATTTGGAGAGGTGGGAGGGTATGTGTACATGCACACACTCTCACACGTACAAATCTATGTATAATATAATACTACAGACCTACTGATATTTAGATTGCATAAAATTAGAAACAAGAGCAAAATACGGTTTCATTCAAGGAAAAAGGGTTGTGATTGCTTTAAAATATTTTGGGTTGCATTTTGTACTTCATCTTTTTTAAAAAAATGTGCATTTAAGGGTCATGTTAGAGAATTCTTTTCTGTTCTAATTTTTAATCTATAAATAAAGCAACCAGGAGATTAGCATATGATGGATGCCATTTACATTAGTTACTAAAGGGGTTTTCAAAGTAAGTCTACTAAGACTTTTGCTTAGGAAATGATGCCTTTGACCTGAGTGGAAGAGAACTACACTAACAGAGCACTTTTTAGAATCTAATGAATTGCAAAACATAATTTAAGTACTGAAATACATATTTATTCAATCACTATATGTTTATTAAAATATCATATTTAAATTAAATGGAAGAAAATGACACATTTTTAACTATATATACAGCAAAAAAATTATTTCTGTCAAAGTAGAAGAGACTGTCCACAATATTTTTGTCTAAAAAGGCTTTTTACTTCATCAGAATGGAAACCAAGACATATGCAATCTGTTGTAAAAACAATGGAATCTAAGTATTACAGCTGGAATACAATTATCCTTTTCATTATCATTCACCATTCTCACTGCTCCCAACAGCAAGGTCAGAAATTAATGGCTTATGTTTACAATATATATACAATATAAGTGCTTTGCTGTCCTATGGAACTTAATTAAATGGAACTTAGATGCTTGGGAGAAAAAAAAAAAAAAAAAAAACAAAAAAAACAGCTTTCTCTGTACAATCTCCTAATAACTGGCCATGCATGAGAACAAGTACCTGAAAAATGCATTTGCTCACTATCAGACACTACAGAGAGAACAGAGTCAGGAATTTACCCAGAGTCAAAGGAGAATATAGTGTTCATCAGTCCTAGAGAGAATTATTCAGTGATGTGTACATTTAAATATACAATTGCAGCCAATGGAACCACAAGAAAAGTGATTCTGAATCTGGAAATCCCAGCACAGTGGCAGTAAACCAAAAACATAAAACAGAAACAGACAGCAAGAGAGAAATAAAAATTTTTATATTTGGGGTTTTTTACACATCTTTAATGTTTTAAAAAATTTTTTTTAACATCTTTAAGATGTTTTTAAACATCTTTCTCAAAAATCAGACTGTGAGATGTCTGAAGAACAGTAAATTCATGGCTGCACATTTACTTAGCTCAAACCAATGAACAGCATGGTAGCTTGGTGGAAAATATTAGGAGTCTGGCTGCCCATTTGAGGAATGTCCATCATTTTTGTCAATTCATTTTATAAAAGTCTATTTACACATTTGTCTCTCCTGTTAATTTGTGTCCTCCTAAACTTTTAGATGGGTATAAGATTAACAGCAAATTACTTGCATTCTGTATATTAAAATGAAAGTGTTTGGTTCTGAAACTGAAGTTAGACACACTTTATTAAAGACCCTTGTTCTATTTTTTTTAATCTCTTCCCCGAGGAACATAGGTGTGACTGTATGTAATAATATTAAAAGCTCAGGTCAACAGGACTATATGCAGTGAGAATTTCAAGGGTGAAGAATCCTACACAGGCAGGTAGGTGAATCTCATTGCCCCAGTGGATCATTCCCAATGCTCTCCAAAACCCACACTGGGCAGCTCGACTAATTCAAAGGCTTCACACGGTATCATGGTGAGTGGCTCATGGTATATCACATGGTATTGCACTCAGCTTGTGAGCAACTTTCCTTGTGACCAAGTGCCAAAGATGAGGCATTGCAGCACTTCAGCTATTTCAGCAATTTCAGGTGCTCACGCACCCTATTAGGTCAGGCACCCCCTGAACACAGCTATCTTGTTTAAAATAAACTATTAGAAGTAAAGATGACCTAAAA